GGGAGTGGTGGGGATAGACTTTGTCATGCAGTTATCGTTTTTTTAAATGTTGCCGTAATATTTACAATAATCGACGGATTTTAACATTTGGTACATTTTGACATAGCTGAAGACAGGACAAATAGCTACAGTACTACAGATTTTTGATTTTCGACAAATCTTCGTTATATTAGGGGCGAAATTTTGAAAATTAATTACAAAAAACTTTTTTATTTATGAATATTTTTTATGGTATTCTATACAGGATTAAATGGTCATCTGACTTAAGCAAAAATGTGAAAAAAAATTGTTTCAGTAATTCGCGTTAGCCGCCATTGGCTAATTCAGTTTTTCGATCCTAGATTAATTATTTATTGTTCGATTTGTATAATAGAAAGTTCAAAATGTCCGTTATCCGAAATGTCATTATTATTGTTACCGTTAAAGTTTCCTGTCGGCAACAGAGTGAAATAATTTTACAAAAAACTACAATTTTGACAGTTCGGTGCCACTTTTTGAAAGCAAATATTATTTTTGACAAATCTGGTATAACTGAAATGGTGTGCCCTTTAAAGGCGCACAAAACTTCGGGCTCAGATTTTTATAATTTCGATTTCGTTTTCTTCCTGAAAAAAGGTGTAAAATTAAGCTATTTACAACCCATCCAGCGTCTTCATTTCAAATATTTCTTCGTAACCTTTATAACTCGTAGCAATAATCCATACGAAGAGAATGTAATATGCGTAGTTACCGAAAAATAGGCAATTTTGCATGCATCATTTTTCTCGTTATTTTGCCTGTGAAAGAGTGAATTATCATTCGATTTTCAATTTCTTTTTACCATTTGATGCCTACTGCCAATTTTGACTAGGTCAAACCAATGTAACATTTTCACTATCACCGAAAATGGCGTCACTTGGGCAAAAACTGTATTTTAGCCTTCAAAACAGATATTTTATTCAAATGAGTCTGATTTGTAATGTTTTTAAAATTATGATTTTTTTATTTTTATTCCAATCAACAAATAGAATGAACCCATACAATCATACATATACCACTAAATAGTTTCTAACTTTTGCGGTTGCAGAGAAATAGACGATTTCTACAGGTCACTTTTCAAGGTTTTTGATCAATAAAAGTGTCAATTATTATTCGAAATTCATAAAATTTTCACCATGTGATACCATATGCCATTTATGATTTCATAGAACTAATTTAACATTTTCATAATCACCGGAATTTTATTTCATTTTGGCAAAAAAATATGATTTTTTTATTCCAATCAACAAATAGAATGAACCCATACAATCATACAGATACCACAAAATGGTTTCTAACTTTTGCGGTTGTAGAGAAATAGACGATTTTTAGGGGTCATTTTTCAGATCTACAAAAGTGTCAATTATTATTCGATATTCATAAAATTTTCACCATGTGATACCATATGCCATTTATGATTTCATAGAACTAATTTAACATTTTCATAATCACCGGAATTTTATTTCATTTTGGCAAAAAACTGTATTTTTAGCCTTCAAAACAAACATTCTTTTTTGAAGTGAGTCATATTTAGTATTCGTTTAACATTATGATATTTGATTCTAATGAACATATAGATTGGATCAATCCGATCATTTATATGTCCAAAAATTGCTTCTAGCATCTTCCCCTGTCGAGAAATAACCAATTTTGTCAGGATCACTTTTTAAGATTTTTTTTTCGCATTTTAATTTCTCATTAGAAAGTTAGCTAACTTAGCGGTACGTTAGCAACAAATTTTGTTAGGATTACTTTTTTGACATATGTAACACATGGTAACAAATGGATAAATGTAACTGATAGTGCGCGATTTAGTTGATTCTGCTTCTGTTTTATAACACGTGTGCTATGCCTATATGGAAATCTGTTCAACGGTTTTATTGGTACCGGATGTTACATAAGTTCAAGGGTAACGTGGCATCATAAGTTCAAGGGTAACGTGGCACCGGTGAAACCCGTCATTACTGCATCGCAGTTCTAGTTGTAATTATATCCACCAAATACGGCTAGTTTTATATTTTATATTTAAGTGTAGTATTCAATATAATATTTGATGGTACGAAACAATACATTTTAATTACACGCTCAAATCAAATATTTGTCTATATAAACAAAATCAACTGGACCTCGATAGTGTTTCTTTTGTGTGCTGTAATGTATATTTTCATAAAGCTTAGGATGGACGAAACGTTACCGCGTAACATATCAACCATTTTGATAATTTCAGTTCCGATATGACTTGATTTGGTATAGTTCTGGACAAATGAACTATAATTAAATCAAACAGGCCTGTGGCGTTTGATACGATATGTTAACTTTTTACGTTCTGAAATCCTACAGTTCAGGTCATTTCATTCAATGTTCAAATTGTGTATAGAGTCGTCAGCGTCAAACGTCAATATCCGGTGGCCCCTGCCAGTATTGATCACCCGATGAACTCTCCTCTGAATTGGCCATTGGACCTCTCTCTCTCTCTCCCTCTCTCTCTCTCTCTGTTTGCTGTTGCTGTAGCGAGTTGTCGAGGTCACATTCTCAAATACAGACAGTGAACACACTGGTTTTAAAGATGTCTCAAATGCAGTGGCTGATTTTCCTAACATGCTTTTCATGACACAAGGGGTTTGTGCCAGAGTCCGGATCTGGAGGTATTTAACTTTAGCTATGGGCCTGGTTTATGCTTTTTGTCCTCTGAATCTGAGGAAATTCGTATTGGGATATGAAACGAAAGGAATTACTTGTACCCACTTGAAATAAGTAGGACAATTTTCGTATATTTACTGTACGTCGCCATTTTCAGCGGGGATAGTTTAATATTTGAATAATTCGTCAATTAATAATAAAACATTTACAGGAAGAATTTAGCTACGCATCAAATATTAAGCTACTTAAGGATGCTAAATTTCTAACTTAATATTTCCATAACATTAAAAATTAAATACACGAAATAGAATTCAATATTGGTCCATTTCAGTTAATATTGATATTATTATATTGCCATGAAATGGGGTTTAACGTCCTACTGTTCTGCTCCGAACTGGGCTAATGAAGACGGTAATATTTCCATGAAACTAGAATCTTAATATGCAATATTTAAGACACAATGAACATTTTATAATTATTACACGGGTGATGTAGACAGTGTGGAAGTGATTAGTAATGGCTCATTTACAAACGACAAAATAATATTAATCAACTCTTGTTCAATTTGGACTGTTCACATATTTAGATATTTTAAACATGTTCTTTTAGACCCAGTTTCATCGATTTAAGGTTCCACAGAATAGCTCCACACTCCCTTACATATACTATTCAAAAAAAGTAGGGGATATTTGATTTTGGGGGCATAATACTAAAATATGCAAATGACTACGAAAAAAGTCACTATAGAACCTAACAGAAGAAACATTTCCAGTTACATGTGACGCCCAAACGCACCAATAGCTACCGCATGGAATGCAGGTGATGCGTGGGATCATCATGGGGGTCCAACCCAAGATTTGCACGACTCTGACTTTGAATGTTACAGTCATTGTGGCATTGAATTCCAGGGTGGAAACATCAGTTTAATTGTTTTAGTGACCAGAAAATAAATTTTGATATGCGTCGGCTTACCCAAAATGAAAGGTTACGTGCCCTTGGCATGCTACAGATCGGCACAACACAGGCGGTTGTGGCGCGGACGATGAATGTTTCTCAGTCTGTCATAAGCAGGCTATGGTCCAGATACCGTGATACACAATCTGTACAGGACAGACCACGCTCAGGTCGACCAAGGGCGACAACTCAAGCCGAGGATCGATTTATCCGTACCTTGGCCTTGAGAAATCGTGTCATCACAGCAAATCAGATCAGCGCTCGTCTTCAAACAGACACTGGTGTGAGAGTGAGTGGCCAGACGATTCGGAATCGACTGCATAGGGGTCACCTTCGCGCCCGACGTCCTCGCGTGATCCCTTGTTTGAGAGATCATCACATTCAGGCAAGACGTCGTTGGTGTAGGGATCGTCAACACTGGGATAATCGACGCTGGAGCAATGTGATGTTTTCAGATGAGTCAAGGTTCACTGTTGATTTTTTGGACAGACGTAGGAGGGTGTGGCGTCGTCGAAACGAGCGCTTCCAAGACGTTAACGTCATCAGACATGATCGATTTGGGGGTGGTTCTGTTATGGTGTGGGGAGGCATCACTGTTGCTGGAAGAACGGCTTTACATGTTGTTGCAGGGCGTGTTACAGGCCAGTACTACCGGGACAACATCTTGGCAGTCCATGTTGTGCCGTTCGCACGACGTCATGGCCGCCGTTTCATCTTCCAGGATGACAACGCAAGATGTCACAGGGCCAGGATCGTTACAGGTTACCTCCAACAACAGAACATCACCACATTACCTTGGCCAGCACTGAGTCCCGACCTCTCCCCCATCGAGCATGTCTGGGACATGCTTGGACAGAGGTTACGTCAACGTCAACAACGTCCTGCCAATGTCCAAGAACTTGCTGCTGCGTTGCAACAGGAATGGGACAATCTGGACCAAAATGACCTTAGACGTCTCATTAGGAGTATGCCACGTCGGATCAATGCTTGTTTGGCAAACAGAGGAGGATTTACCCGTTACTGACTTGGTTGTGATGCTGTGGTAACTTTGCTGTTTGACCCCGGGTATCATTTTACCTTATAATGGTCAGTCTGTGCCTTACTTAGTCTAACGATCATTTGGAATAAATCGATGAATGTGAACTTCATTTCATTTTGTCATTTGTTTCTTCGTCAGTTTCATTAGGTGACTTTAATAACACTTAAAAATCAAATATCCCCTACTTTTTTTGAATAGTATATATGCAATATGTATACCCAACAAATTATATTCAATATGCTTTATGATTGGCTTGTTATCCGATAGAATGGCATACATCTATCTCGTAGACCAGTAAAAAAGTTTCAAGTAAATGATTAGATTATTTTATACTAATTGTATATTGTAGAATGTGATAATACACATTGGGGAGATAACTGTCAACGAACATGTCAATGTGTAGCTGGTCATTTTTTATCATGCAATCAATCTGTTGGTACCTGTAACTGCAATAACCAATGGACAGGTGATTCGTGTCAAGGTATGTATGTCATGGTTGTATTAGTTTATTGAATTAATTAATTATGATTTGTTGGTAGTATTGTTATAGCATCATAGATTAGATGAAATGGTTTCGCAGTACTTTTATTATAAGATTCTGTATCTAAGAGAGAAAGGAACAAAAACCAAATGTGTTACGCATTCATTCACAGAGGAAAGGAAACCAGTTGATTCGACGACACGGAGCTACCCAGCACCTCTCCCCCGTCTATAGCTTGTCATATAACGAACGTTTTGCTCACCATCTATAAACGTGGGTAGAATTGAATTATTTTGAGGTATTAAAGATAAATACCTTATTATACTGTTCAACAGATTGTGCAAGGGGATATTATGGTTCAAACTGTGATAAAGTATGTCATTGTTACCAATCACAATGCGATCAAGATACAGGAGTATGTGAATATGGATGTGAACATGGATGGATGGGAATTAGATGCGACCAAGGTAAATTAGATTTATATACATTCTAAGAATCACGAAGGTCTTAAATAAACCGATTTTATATAGAACTGAATTATTTACTTACTAAGAATCCCGAAGGCCTTTTATAAATAGAAATGAAATATAAAATGTAGTTAATTCAATTATAAAATTATATAAAAGTGTCCTGAACTTTAGGTACTCTGTTACAAAGTGCAATTATGAATTAAATGTCAATAGGAGAGAGAGAGAGAGAGAGAGAGAGAGAGAGAGAGAGAGAAATGGGGTTTAACGTCTACTCGACACAAACTAGGTCATTTCGGTACTAACCTATGGTTTAATTTTTATTTCAATAATTCGCTTGCGCATAGGGGTCTTTAGCAGTGGGAGGAAACCGGAGGACCCGGAGAAAACCTACGAGGTTGGACAGGCGACCCTACTCTTTGTCACGTACAACCGGGGAATCAAAACCTCGCCAGTTGACTCAATGACAGACCGTATGATACAGCGCGCGCGTGCTAACCATTCGGCCATCCAACCCCCCAATGTCAATAGGAGTTAGGTCCTAGTCTGTAACTGAAAGATCAACTCCTATTATCTCAGTCTGTAACTAAAAGATCAACCACTATTATAAATTGGAAGATTATTTTTTCTAGGCCGACACTGAACAAGGTGCATTTCCCAGTTACGGTATAATATATATAAAGTTAAATATAATTTTTAAACATTGATTTAAACAATTTTGTGTGTTTTTTCCATACATTTATCATTTTATTTTTTTTTTGTTTCAGTGAAAGCAGCAGCAGAAGGTAGAAAATTTGTATAAATCAAACTTAACTACTTTTATTTAGTTATGTTAAGGTCTATTATTACTGTTATTTGACTTATGATGCCGCATTTAAAACAAATATTCCAGGAAATTAAAGACTTATAAGCCACTGATCGTTATTAGCATTTTTCGGAAAATGTATAATTTTAACTTATTAATTCACACAAAAAAGTACTGAAAATGATTATTGTAGCAATATGCGTCAGCGGTCAGATGTGGAAAGGTCCAATTGTCAAAAACACTCACCATATCGTGTTATCTTCACAGTTTCACAAACAAACCACCCGTGTTCCCGAACAAATACTATGGTTCATAGATATTTTGATAAATGCGTGTCATCTACTGGTTCATATAACCACGGTCCTGGTTTTACGCTTATCTATGACTGTAACCAATAATTAGTCAAGGCCATAGTTAAGCTAAAATTCGTATATTAGGCTAACATTATTAATCATAAGTATAGCATTTCACCATCATTATTACTGCATTATTTAACATTTTATTTAGAACACTAAACCAAAATATTAACGGTAAAAAGAGATCTATCAAAAGATTTTAACGACAAATTTAGGTAGTGCTGGATGGATTATATCGTCTGTAAGATGATGCTAAATGTTGCAAAATGTTCAATTTATCTTAATTTTCTAAGTACTGAATGGAGCTGAATCATTTTAAGAATGATATTCAACTTTCACAAGTGAATCTCTTAAAATTTCTCAATGCCTTATCTTAGTTTTCCAAATAATAAGTGAATTCAGTTAAATTCAGTGTTTGCAATCAGACCCTTACCCTTTCTCACGGGCACCCCCACCCTCCAAACAGACCATGCAACCAAACCGCCACCCGTTCTCACCCGCACACATATAGGCAATCTCACAACCTCTGCATTAAACGAGATGTCTTCTGTTCTTCAAAATTTCACAGTACAAATTGCATATTTCAGTGGCAACGTACTGTGTTAATTCTCCAACCGAAGGTAAATATGCTCTGTTAAGGGTTAATAGAAAAAACGTAAAATATGACAAAATCAATATCATCAATGAATCACAGGATACATCATCATCTACAACATGTGATCAAAGAATGTTTAACGAGGATGCTGACGATGTTTTAAACCTCAAGATATTAATCGAAGATGATAATAAAACATCTCCCAGTTGTTACCATACAAAGGTACGTATACACTGTTGTTACGATTCAAAGGTACGTATACACGGCGAATTCCATTTCAAATATGTTTGGTTAATAAGCGTAAAGGCAGAAAGGTACGTAGACACACTGAATTATCATGGCTAAGTCGCTTTTCAGAAACAGATAACGAGTGTGAAGTCAGAAATAAAGTGAAGTGATAAGAAGAATGCATTAGTTACTCTTTTACCATGTCCATGTCATCTAAGCAGCCAATCATATCTTCATAACTCTCCCTTCGCTGGTCAGAGTTTGGTTCATTTTTTTCTGTTTACTAAGAACAGATCGTTATAATATATCAATGTTACCACTAAATTTCGCCTTTATAGACGGACAGGGAAGTCTTCAAATGGACATTAAGAACAGAAGAAGTGTCTGGTTTTTATGGTTACTATGACAGATTATATGAACTGAGTTGTGATTTTAAAACAGCAGAAACGTTGACAAGAAACAACAAACAGACTTTAAGTGGGTAAGTTTTTTTCTTTAAAGGGTTTCATTAATATTATTATTATTTGTGGGTTCTTGCCACAAAAAAATAACCAATGCTGCAATTGTTTCAACAGGTCGACCTCACCTTCTAAATACGTAGAATTAATGGAATAATTTTCTTAGTTTGCTGAACAAAGGGCAATTCTGATTAATTTATAAATGACACTTTATATTTTAACATGCACCGTGTGTTGTCTATATTTTGTTTTATCTTGTTCTCGGCAGTATATATCAACCTAGCAAAGTAAATGTCATCCAGACTACCGAGGACGTCCAGCTCTTCATTCAGAACCCAGCAACATCCAGTCGTGTTTCTCAAGTACAGATTGGCTCCAGAATTCAACTGGCAATGCTATTAATTAAACGCGATGACATAACAGCCTCCGGTCAGTAAACCCTTATTTTCTTTAACGGCATATGTTATAGCGTAATTGAGCAGTGATTTGAAATGGAAAATAATATCAATGTCGTTTACCACTATCACTGACTAGTAATAAATGTATACTTTCTTTTGTAACAGGTATTTCACCATATAATTGTTCCTGTTCTACACCTGATGGGAAAACAGTTCACCAACTTACAGACTCTAGTGGGTGAGACTTTTTTTTTTAATATCAATTTTCTTAAATTCAAGAAAATATTTCCTATGGTATTTTAAAATCTGCATATAATAAAAACCGAAAATCACAGCTCTTGAATGAAGAGATCATAAATAATACTTCTAGTCTAGAATACTTCAGTTGGGACATACTACTACTACTACCTGGTGCTTTAACGTCTGCTTCCACAAAAGTGATGTCGCAGACAAAGGGACTTACCCGTTCATGTGGCAATTTATACTCGACAGTTCTAACAGTTCTAGACTTTAATCGATCATTATACTGTGTCCAATGTCAATAAATTGGTCGTTTTATAGCTTTATTAATTACAAATTAACCTTGAAAAGATATATTTTTCCGAATACCATCATCGTTGAACCAGAGGGGACACGACCCATCCCAGCATTTTTATACGACTGAAAAAGTACCCGCCCATCGAGAGGTTAATTTGTTCACTTATTGTTGACTAATATGTGAAAATATACCCAAATCGGTCTTGAGCTAGCATGGTGATCAAGGGACATCACTTCCGGTTTTGATAAAGAAATTAATTACTGGCTTACAAAAACTGTTTTGATCGTTTTAGAGGGATGATTATTTCTAAATATATTTAAGAGTTATGGAAGCCTTGTTGCAAATCGTTGATCGTCCCCTTTGAGGGTTCTTTAAGAAAAAAGAAGCACAATCGGGAGTTCTCGACAATCCCCGTAATGATGTTTTGTAATATTTGTGTAAGAAATTAATTGTTATTCATTATTTAGATTATAGTAACTTTGACTAATTTCACTAATGTTTTTACACATACATGTAAAATTGTTCTAAATAATGAATTTAAATTGCTACATGAAACCTGACGTAAACTTTTGTCGTAAAATGTCATTTGAAGACGAGTTAAGAAACCATCTAAACGAGTTAACTAGTTAAAGTTAGCCGAGTTAACTATTCAGTCGAAGTTAACCGAATTAACCACAGTCGAAATTAGCCCAGATAACTACAGTCGGGGTTAGCCGAGTTCACTTGTAATTATGTTATTAGGAAAAACATTATGTTCCTGCTTCGAACCTTCCTAACGAGCCATGTGGAAGAGGTGATGAAATCATTAAACTTTACCATGTGAACTCGTTTCCAGAATTGTGTCCACTTGAAAAAGGATACGCCATTTGTAGATTCAGAAGTACAATTGTATTTAAATTTTATTTCAGATGTCCTGTACGGGATTCCCCTGTATTTGCTTTAACCGGAAGTAATGGCTCTTTCATAACATCAAATATATTTGATGCTTTCACAATTAAAGGAAGTTTAGGTCTCATCTTCAGTTGTAGTTTTGAATTCTGTTTTGATTCAAAAGAAACAAAGTGTGCTGATGTAAGTATTTTGATTGGAATCTGCTTAACATGGCTGGTATATGCGTAACACTTTTTCTTATGCGGTTTTGATGACATATTTGGACGTATTTTGGTTTAAATCCCTCTCAAAAGATTTAATTGTAAGTAAACAGACCCATGGCACAAGAATCTATTTAAAGCAGCCTTGTTTTTCACGGAACCCCTCTCTTCTCACGACAGCGATTTTAACACCGTATTTTAAAGCGACCTTTTGATATACAGGAATTTGATTTACCTATTTTGTTTTATATTACGCCTTCATATGTAAATAACTTAATTACATCAACCTGTCCACAATATCATATTACAATTTATATTAGACGTTTAATTTGTAATAAACAACAACATTTACGTAACTTGATTGAAGGAGAATCTACTTTCCATATATAGATATACCAAATTTATCGTACATTAATGGCCTACGGACCATTTATTCGATTATCCTCTTGTTAGTATTATGTTTAAATGCCTTTAAGACCATCTATTAAGTTATGTTTTTTATTTAAAAAAAAGCCTTCTTATTTCAGTATTATGAATTGTATATTATAGAGATGTAGTGATCTGCGAACTCGATCAATACTCGGGACCAGAGCTAGAACAAAACGATCAACAAATGAGAATAGAAAGAATGGTCAAGCATCAGCTTATTTATTGTTGATACCAAAAACACAGGACAAACAAACCGGTAGGTTATGGTTTTCCTAGTTCCTTTAGGAACTGTCTATGATCGAACAGTCCGCTGACAGTTCCTATGGCTTGTTATATAGCTGCAATGTGAAAATACGGTAAAATACCACTCTTCCCCACCTCTGTTCTCGGGATATTTTGGAACTCTTACCTTCTATTTTTCACCGTGAATGTTTATTTTTCGCAAAAGGAATCATTTCTCTTCATATCTGACACAAATATATAATCATTCAACACTATGTTCAAGTAGAATTTAGCGATGAAATGAAATGAAATGTTGTTTAATGGCACGTCAGCTCCAACCGGGCTATATTGCGCCAAACATATGGTGAATCTAACGAGACAAATTAAAACGATATCACATTGAATTTATATATGTAAATAAAAACAAACATCACAGAAAATATATTAATTAAAAATAAATATAACAAATCTTTTACATATATAAATATTTAAAACAATATACATGATTAAATATATACAATTAAAATTGAGAATAAAAGTTTGTCTCTTTTAAAAATGTTAGCACTTTATCATATAGCTCGGGTTGAGCAAATAGCTGACGTACTGACTGGCAAAATTTAGCGATTAAATAAACATGTGGTCTGCGTATGTTCGAGTCTCGTAATGTCTGATGAGTTCAAACGTATTTTGTGTATGTTTTTTATCGCAAAATTCTGCTTGAAAATAGTGTTGAATTATTATAAATTTAATGTGTCAGCTGTGGCAAGAAATGGTTCATTTTTTTCAGGCAAAGAAGAATCAGGGTGACAAATAGTCGATAAGGATTCAAAAATAGCCTTAGACCAGAGGTGGGGATGAGCGGTATTTTCATATTGCAGCGGACATAGTCCGATCAGGGACAGTTCCTAAAGGAACTATGGTTTTCCCACCAGATTGGTCAAATACGATATCCTGAAAGGTTTAAATAAAAATGGGCATTTGTTCAGCAACTTAGATAAAATTAAATTTGTGGTCCGATTGAAGTGATGCAAATTTGGTTTTCATTTAATTAAAATATATGTAAACATAAAGATATTTCAACATAATTCGGGATCATATACAAGAATCTTTGAAAGAGCGGTTAAGTAAATGCGTGATAATGTAAACAGAACTTTCTTATACATTTTTAATATGTTGATAATGCAGATAACTTTCTTACATTTTAAACATCTTTATCTGAAGTACTTTTAACTCTCACCGATTTAATCATCTCTATACAGTAGAAGTAATGTACATGTCAATATTCTCCATTACAGATACGAACAACATCTCTGTAGACTCTGAAGGTACCATTTCCAAACACTTCACTGTTATAACTGGTTCCATCTTGGTATTGGTACTGTGTGGAGGTTTGGTCGCTGCCGTGCTGCTTGTCCGATCTAGTCGCATTAGAAATGTTATGAAACAAACCAATGTGAAAATAACGGAATAACTTTATAAAAGAAAGTTAAAATGAGAATTTAAATATTACCAATAATATCCACAATTTCATGATTAAATCTGTAATTTGTACTTTTCTCTTATCGATAGTTAATTTGTCTTGAAATACTTTATGGTTCTTTAATAAATTACTGTTATGTCATTATTGAATGTCCGTTTAACGTCTCATTGATTGAGTCTTAAAACGTGTGTACATGATATAGGAGTTCATGCTGGAATCAGCGGGTAGTGTGAGCGTGGTTGTGACAATTATATAACACTGCCAACATTGTTTAAAAACGCCGAATCCGGGGTAGACAATTTGATGGGGACAGTAGTGAGACAGGGCCCTTGTGTCCAGTGTTCGGGCCCATGCAAAGGGTCCTGAATATGGTCCCAGTCTTTAGTGCAATAGCCTTTGTATCCAGTAATAAGGAAAGTGACTCAAGAGGGAACCATTTGGTGCAATGGTTGGGGTGTAGGATTTGTAACCTAACACTTGCAGTGACTCAAACAGAGCTCTTTATCTTAGAATAATACACCAAATCTATCTGTATTAAAATCTTTCCAGCTGTAAACGGGTACAGATAGGATTGTGTATACAATTACACAAATAATGACTCATTTGCTGTTTGGAGAGGGCACTATCTAATATCCTCGTCACACATTCAGCACGACCGTTACGACTTCAAAATTCAGCCAGATTGTAGATGACAGCGGCATAGACATGACTCTGCCAGATTGTAGATGACAGCGGCATAGACATGACTCTGCCTTCGTCAGCGTAGGCAAGCCACCTTGACACTTGGACGATTTGACATGAAAAAGAAATAAAACCAAGTACGAACAATTAGACAAAATTCGAATCCAAAATAAAAACGGTATAGGGAAAATAGTGTAATCAGCAAATGGACTGTTTATCGTGTACAAAATACACGATAAACAGTGGTAACAGGTGTCCGGAAGAGTAAGCTTACCCTGCCTGGGGCCACACCCACCATGGCTACATCAAAAATATTAGGCGAAATCTCGGTAAAACAGCGTGATTGACCAATGGACTATCGGTATGCAAAATGCACGTGATGAACAGTGTTAACGGTGTAGTAGAAATGAAATGAAATGGAGTTTAACGTCTTACTGTCCTGCTCCTATACTGGGCTAATGAAGACGGGCATACGCCATACAGTGTGCTATGAGGGGATTTTTGCCCGGGCAGCGGCACTATCGCCTACTCTTATATCGAATTCCAACTGCCAAGGGATCTTTTACGTGCATTTCAGTATATACACGATAAATAATATAATGTCTTCAACAATCATTCCATGTACCTGTAGTGATCATTCTGCAATACAGATATGTCTAAATTTTGCAAACAGAAAAGGGGCCCAAACCTTTGGAGGTTCATTTCTACCCTTATAACAGATAAAATCTATCAGGCATTATTTTCTGCTGAACTAAAAGTATGGAAACGAGAATATTTTAATCCCCCCGATAAGCGTGGACTATGGGACTGTGTAAAGTTAAAATCAAACTATCCACGATTAAATATACAAAACAAAAACAAAAGGTTCGACGAACTTTAAAGGCAGATATTATACAACAATTTGAAAACCTTGATACAAAATTACTAGAAAACGAAGAGTATAAGACAGAGTACAATGATGTCAAACACAAATTAAATTCAATTTACAACCATGAAGCAGAACAGGCAATACTTAGGTCAGGATTACAGTACTATACTGAAGGTGACAAAACACGCAGTTCTCCACGACAATAAACAGATTGAAAATGAACGATAAATTTATTCAAAATATTAATCAAATAATGGGCGAAATAGAAATATATTACAAAAATTTATATTCACAAAAGGTAACAAAACTATGCGGCATCGAAAAATTTATTGATAAAACTAATCTCTCTCTGCCACAACTTGGGGATTATGAAGCAGACTGTCTCGAGCACAAGCTAGATGACCAAGAGTGTCAAAAGGCGATTAACTCGTTTAAAAATGGAACTTCGCCTGGAAACGACGGTTTGACTCCAGAGTTCTACTCCTGTTTTTGGCCAGTAATCAAACATCTTGTTCTGGACTCCCTGAACGAAGGATTTGAAAACAGCTCCTTTTCAGTTATCCAACGGCAATCTATCATCAAACTTCTGCCTAAACCCAATAAATGCAAATACGAGTTAAATAACTGGAGGCCCATTACCTTAACAAATTACTGGATTGAGACCTTTTTTTAGAAAAACTAATTCATCCCAATCAAACGGCATTTGTGCCTGGAAGACACAATATTTATGAAAATATTAGAATTCTAGACGACTGCTTTTCCCTAGCTCAACAAAGGCGTATTACAGGCTTTCTGTTGGCAGTGGATTTCAATAAAGCCCTCGATTCAATTTCCCATTCATATATGTTTAAAGTATTACGCCATTTTGGCTTTAAAAGAAAATTTATACATTGGATTAAGACTCTGTACACAAACATAGAATGTGCTGTAATAAACAATGGTTAGACTACCAAATATTTTCCGATTTTAAGCGGTGTAAGACAAGGAGATCCGATGTCTGCAAATCTATTTAATTTAATTATCGAGACGTTATGCGAATGTATAAGAAACGACGGGAATATAAGTTTTGGACAAAACAGTGTTAAAATTGTTGCTTTCGCCGATGATCTTACCTGTTTTCAAAGGAATTTAAGTCGGGACGTCACCTTCTAGAAGTTTTAAATCAATTCAAGCTGATTTCTGGTTTTTCTGTCAACTACTCTAGAACTGAAGCCTACAATCTAAACTCAAGCAGCAAAAAATTAAACCAGCTTGTAATACATTTCAATTTGACAGTAAATTCTACAGCCATAAAAATATTAGGAATTTTTTTCTCATTTAACACAAACCTCCGAAACAAACTTAACTTTGACAATAAACTAGAAAACCTCTCATTAAGTGGTAAAATTATTATTATAAAATTTTTTGCCTGTCCACACTATCACATCAATTACAGATTGTCAGATGAATTAAATACGATATTTTATCAATTCTTTTGGAGGGTAAGGACAAAATCAAGCGGGAGGTGGCTTAAAAATGGTGAATTTAAAGGAACATATAACAGTAAATCCTTTGTCTGGATAAAAAAAAATATTTAGCCAAAAACAGCAGCTTTGGTACGATATTTTCTCTTTCGTTATATCTCCTTATGACCCTCTATTATTATTATCCGGTAACTATGATCAAAAACAGATTACGATATTCTCACCGTTTTATACACAACTACTCTCCAATTGGTTTAAAATATATAACAGTAATATAGATCAACATATACAACTACAAAACCAAGTAATGTACATGAACAAAATTTTAGAAACAAAAGATAACTATAATAAAACCCTAATACAAAAGTATAATACACTATTTGTAGCTGACATAATAAATTCTCCGTTAGAAACATATACACCAAATGAACTCCTGACTGTGTATGGTTATAGGAAATGTATTTCGAACGCATAGAAAAAACAAAATGCTTAAAAATAAATAAAAACACCCTTTTAGACGATAATGGAATCCATAACTGTAACAAAAAAGACTACAAAACAATAATACAAAACGACATTATGAAAAATTTGAAACAATTCTATAAGATGAACCATGAAGATTTAAAACCAAGAGATGTATATTACAAACGAATAAACTCTGACTTCATTAAACCAAACTCGATATACAAATGGGAAGACGAACTTGGATGTACAATTGACGACATTACAACCAAATCAATATTCAAACTGATAAATTTGTCATGTATAGACACAAAAACTAGAATTTTTCAATACAAATACATTCACAGGATAATATACACACATTCTAAATTATACAAATTTGGTAAAGTGTCTACAACATTATGAGACTTTTGTCAATCAAGCATCGAAACCGTTAATCATCTATTTATTTACTGCTCTTACTCACAAATGTTATGGAAAATACTTCACAATATCCTGAGTATAAATAACATTTATAGTAATCTTTGTCCCTCTGTAATACATCTTGGCTTATACGAATTGCATGACCACCTACCTAAAATTAATTATCCCAACCAAATACTATTCTTAAATCATGCAATCATATTAACTAAATACTATATATTAAAATCAAAATTATCAGAAAAACTTCCATTGAAAGAAAGTTATTTATCGTTTCTTTTATCAAGAGCGAATTTAGAACTTAACTTAAATAATGAATCTTGCAAAAAATGGGAATACTTAACATCATCGACCATAGTAAATTATAAACAGGCCAATGTTGATAACTAAGCCAATGTAACTGTATTGTGTATGTATAAATATGTTTACTTTATATTAATATTAATAAATATTATATGTATATTGCTACTATTGTAAATTGCTTATATATCTCTCACTGTAAAAATTATCTATCCGTCAAAAAAAAAAAAAAAAAAAAAAAATACACTGGTTACCTCTAATAAAACCAGCAGTGCAAAATATATATATATATATATATATATATATATATATATATATATATATATATATATATATATACGGGACCTCGGTTTTTCGTCTTATCCGAAGGACTAGACAGCTGTCCTTGTCAGGCCCTCCGTTCTGCACCACTGACAAGGGGAAACCACGTCGGAAAATCTGGATGAACTTTCTCCTAGCCATCGTGGATCCCTAACGGTGTAGTAGATATTATCAGGTAGATAGTATACCCTTCAATTAAATATATCTAGAATACTAGCCGAGAGAGACATGTTATATTTACCAATCAAGCCAATATGACGGCCATACAATTTTTAAAGGTTTTTATAAGTTAAGTGTGCAAGTATCCTTGTAGTTGAAGCTTAGATGACAAATGTCTCGATCTACTTAAAAAATCAGACTAAAACGAACAAGCTCTCGCGTAACGAATTAGCCGAGACACAAACACTCCATAAGCTGGTGATATTGGAATGTTACTACTAATAAATGGGAAGTTAACAATCGGAAAGTCAAAGTCATCACGTTTATCGTACAATTAAACACTCCAAGTAGGAAGCGTAATTGTCACTGTCAGTAGTGTTTTTAAATTCAAGCTCATCAGGATATATGAATTCTACATAATCACTAAATTTGGGATTATTCAGTGATAGAACATCATCGATATATCGATA